TCACTGTCGCAACCTCGGTGTCCTTTTTGATAATAACCTCTCTTTCGACCAACACATCACCCAAATCACCAAAACTGCTTTCTTCCACCTCAAAAACATTTCTTGCCACTTTCTTTCAATGTTGCTCAAACCCTCATCCACGCCTTCATCACCTCCCGCCTTGACTACTGCAATAGCATTCTCTACGGTACAACCTCCAAACTCCTCAATAAACTACAGTACATCCAGAATGCCACCGCCCGCCTACTCACCCACACCCGCACTCGTGATCACATCAGCCCCGTCCTTAAAAACCTCCACTGGCTCCCCGTTCCCCAGCGTATTAAATTTAAACTGCTCCTACTCACCTATAAACCCCTTCACAATCAGGCCCCCTCCTATCTTTCCGACCTTTACCAATACACTCCTTCCCGTAATCTCCGCTCCTCAAACACAAACCTCCTCGCCATCCCCGTGACCAAGCTCAAAACCTGGGGGGACCGAGCCTTCTCTGTCGCCACCCCACCCTCTGGAACACTCTACCACAACACATTCGCAACTGTACTGACCTCCAATCCTTCAAATCATCTCTTAAAACTCATCTGTTCCGCAATGCTTTTAACACCTTTTAATCTCTTTTACCCATTTTGCTTTTTGTTCATCTAAATGTGCTTTTGTAAATTATGTATGCTTGTTTTAAGTACACATTTTTATCCTGTGTTTTAAGCTCTTGTAAAGTGTCTTTGAGTGTGATGAAAAGCGCTTTCAAATAAAATGTATTATTATTATTATTATTATTATCCTGATTTATATAGCGCTTTCATCACAGCTGCAACTGTAACAAAGCGCTTCACAAAACAGTTAAAGTAAACACATAACATAAAAACATGGACAGTCGTGCAATCTTAACCACATTTCGCTCATTTATTCAATTATTTCAAAGAATGCATCTTATTTTTTCATATTAACGAGTATATGAGTGACACAATGTTCGTCTCATTCAATGCCAAGGACATTTTTTTTCAAATTTTTTTTTCCAGGCACTCAATCACGTGGTAGGGTTAAGAACAGACTGAAAATGGCTGGCACTGAGTGAGTTAATGTGGGCATAAATACTGAAATATGTTGGATGAGGGCATAAACATGCATGCATAATCATCAGATTTTAAAACTTCATACGTTGGTTCTGGTGTCAATGTGTCAAATCTAATAAGTGTGGCTAAATCGGTGAAGGAAAGGAATTAACTTTGTGCATTTTGTAGTTTGTCACTTTTTGAAGTCGAGGGAAGTTGACATACATTGGTTCATGGGTGCACTGCCACATCAAATATGGCGGACACGCTCACGATCAGAAAAGTACTCTGCATAAACTCAATTTGACAAGATAGTACAGTCAGTGTCAGTGTTTTTCAAACTTTTTTGAGCCAAGGCACACTTCTTTCATTGAAAAAAATCCCGCGGCACACCCCCCGCTGAAAATGTGAACCCCCCCCCCCCCACGCTTATTTTAACAATTAATGTGTTATATTGTTACTATAACCGTTTTTAACATTGAAGAATGACGTTATAACAGCTTGAATTGGAATTAAATGAACACAAAGAAAAAAGTATTTTCTCATCTTTCATATTTATTGTTTCACCGTCGTCCTGCATTCATGCGTCACAAATTTGCTTGTCTCTCGTCGAAACACAAGGCAATTGGCTAGCTGTTGCTGCTCCCTAGTGGTATGGGAGGGTACTACATGATTACTTTCTGGGCGAAAGACCGCACAGGCATACAAATTGGATATTTTACCGCGGCACGCCTGACAATGTCTCGCGGCACACTGGTGTGCCACGGCACACAGGTTGAAAAACCCTGCTCTATGTAGCACTCTCTATGCTGAAATAACAGCCACTCTTATACACAGTATAATTTCAAGAGTACAGTGTCCGTGGTGTCACATCTATCACTATTGGCTTCTCAGTTAAATGCGGAACCGACATGAAGTATTTGACTAGCAATTTGTGAACTAAACTGTTGAGCTAGCCAAGCTATCTTAAGTTCACAGAGATTTCTTCGATGCGTCAGACAGAGGAAAGGAAACTTCTTGCTATTGCCTGTCATCTTTGAGTTTAAAAATTTGCACATTGCTGTTGCATTAGTCCCGGTTTCATCAGAGCCATCATCCTTGAAGCCAAAGATGTCTTCACATCTTTTTTCTCTCCATGGGTGACTGCTAGCATCATGCCGTGTACTTAAATGTTCACAATCACATTTTTTTAAACTGGTCCCAAACCGCTCTTCGTATTGCTAGCTAAACTGTACACTTTTTCAATTTCGGATAAAAACATTTTACCTGTCTGTTGCTTTTGTAATGATGAATAAAGTTTGGCGTTGATGTGTCTTTAATCCTCGAGGCGCAAACCACGTGTTTTGACATCCTATTTTTGCCAACGTCATGGAGAAAAAAAAACTCCATTAATTCAAAATAATGATACTCTGAGTTACTCCAACACTTTTGGGGTTTAAGCCACCACTTCACACGAACAAGTGACACCAACTGCGTTGCCAGGTTGCTTTCCTTCCTAACAAGGCAAATTGTGTTTAAAATGCAGATTAAAAACTAATAAAATAATTTGGCAAGTTGTGTAATTCAATTCTAAGTCAAGACAAGTCATTAAAATACCAAGTCCAAAGATAAGTCATTCCCATGTTTTTGTGGTCAGATGTCGTGTCTCGTCATTGCTGCTGTCAGCTTCTCTCTCCCATAAAGCAAATAGTTCTAATTTTGCCACTTTCGGGGTGCGCTTATGCGCTATAGATGCGCATATCTGCTTGCCTTTTGTATATCCACATCCCCTTGTGTAAAATGTGGCCACCCACGGAGGATGTGGCCCTACGTCCAGTGCATGTTCTGCGCTGGGCACTTTAGCTCCTCAGAAGCTGTGCAAAACGTACTGAAACACTGAACATTTGGACATTCATCTAAAACTTTAGAGAGGGTCAAATGAAGTTACCTATTAACTCATTCAATGCCAAGGGCGTTTTTTTGTGGGATTTTTTTTTTTCTTAAGAATCCAGTCATTCAATCCCAGGTACGGTGCTTCTTTATCCATCCAGCAATTTTCGAATCCTCACAAGGGTCACTGGCGTGCTGGAGACTATCGCTGCTGTCTTCAGGCAGTACGCAGTTTACACCCTGAAATGGTTGCCAGCCAATCGCAGGGCACACAGAGACAAACAACCATCCGCGTTCACACTCACACCTAGGGACAATTTAGTGTGTTCCATTACCCTGCCATGCATGTTTTTGGAATGTGTGAGCAAACCGGAATACCCGGAAAAAACCCATGCAGGCAAGGGAAGAACATGCAAATTCCACACAGGAAGGCCGGAGCCGGAATCGAACCTTGCACCTCTGCACTGTGAGGCCGACCTGCTAACCAATCGACCACCCTGCTGCCCCACTTCTTTATATCTTTTACGTTTTTTTTCCACGAGGTAGGGTCAAGAAGGAGCTGAAAATGGCTGGCACTGAATGAGTTAAGATTATAATGCACTTAAGGGTTTTCCTCAAAATGTATGCGTATAGCATATGTGTGAGTGGCTGTCAATGACGAACAACACCCTTCCTGATTTCAGATTATTTTCCCCCATATTTATCACACTTAAATGTTTCAAATCATCAGACGTAAGATAAAATATTGACATCTCAGAAAGCCAACCCAAGTAAATATAAAATATTGTTTCGAAATGATGAAAATATCTTAACATTAGCATATTAGAGATTCCACACAAGAACGGGGAGAGCATACAAACTCGACACATGAGATCCTGCGACATGCAAGTTTTGAAACGACAACCTCTCGACTGTGAGGCAGACGTGCTTACCACTATCCAGCACGATCCCGATGGAAATACATCGGCACATGCCATTCATGTGTTATAATTGAATTTCAAATTCCGTTGCATTGTGTTGCAGGTGAAGAGGTGTTTATCTCATACGTCAAATGGAATGAACAGATCCAGCAGTCCTATGAGCCATGTTTCTGGGTGTCCGGTGAGCCATTGGACCCCAATGAGAAGCATTCTGACCTTGTACACAAAAAAGGTATCTATAAGGACAGTTATGGAGCATCAAGCCCCTGGTGTGACTACCAACTGAGACCAAACTTTACTATTGCCATGGTCGTGGTAAGTTAGCGCAACTACCATTGCAATAATACGTTTGTAAGTACAGACGCTCCCCGACTTACGAACATCCGAGTTACGAACAACGGTACATACGAACATTTTTACGGGTATGTCGAAAAAGAAAAGAAAAAGTTAGATTATGTATTGCGCGCCTTTTTCCGAGTACAGTACAGGTGTAGTGCTTCTTTCCGCCGCTAATACCGACGTGAGGCGCTGTGAGAGCTCGCCCAGCATCCACCCCGAATCCGGCTTCCTCTGCCCAGTTGTTAAATATCTCGTGCATCCATTATTCAATATGGTTGGTGAAAAGCGAAAGGCTTCTAGTGAGAGTGGAAGTGTAAAGAAGAGGCAAGCCATTTCATTTCAAATGAAAGTGTCAATAATTAAGAAGCTTGATGCGGGTAAGAAAATGGTGAGCGTTGCACGTGCACACAACATGAATCGTTCGACCATCGGTACCATTTATAAACAGAAAGATCGCATAATGGAACACGTGAAAGGTGCAGTGCTGATGCAATCGACGATCATTAGCACGTAAACATACTTATATAAGCCTGAAACATACATTCCATACAAAATATAGCACTGAAGCAACTTACGAACATCGTTCGTAAGCTGGGGAGCATCTGTACTATATTACGTGCTGATGTACCTTTTGTTTATTGTTTTATTTTTGAAATGACAGGCTCCAGAACTTTTTACAGTGGAAAGGGCCTGGAAGGCTCTTGAAATGGCTGAGGAGAAATTACTCGGACCCCTTGGAATGAAAACCCTTGACCCTGAGTAAGACAGCTTTCTCAATTCTGAATACCAACATGTGGAAATGTATCTTAAACGGAGATCAAAACAATCAATAGCGTCCGCTGGTGCCCCTGACAAGGTCACGTTACGATCACCTTCCCCGGAGCTCCTTGTCACGGTGTCACGTCCATGCAGCTGTAACGAGGCAAACGCTTTAATTTTGTCCAGCCAAAAATGCAGCAGCATGACAGTTGGAGTGGGCCAGCCTGTGTCTGTCAATTTCGGATAAAAATAGCTGCGAGAGACAAGTGCCTTACCTCAGCTTGTTAAAATTTCAAAGTTGGACTCAGAAAGAACTGGAGTACTGGAAGCGCGTTAAAAATAAGAATCATGCTAGACCACCCTGAAATAATGATGACTGACGATGACGGATATCCAGGTCCGTCGCCGACGAATAACAGAGGTTCACTGATCCACCCACTACTGTATACCAAACTATGACAGATCAACATTAAAAATATCATAACGAAAAAAATACTGTCCTTTAAAATGTATACAGGTCCTTGTTTTGTTTGTAATGTGATTGGATTTTTAATTCTGCTTCCTGATGCAGCATTTATGTATTTGCAGTGATATGGTCTACTGTGGTGTGTATGACAATGCACTGGACAATGACAACTATAATGTAGCAAAGGGCTTCAACTACCATCAAGGACCGGTGAGAACATCTATTTGAGTTTGATAATTGGTAGTGATAGTGAAGGACAATGACAGCCATTGTTTAAAACTAGAAGTTGCATTAATAAATGTGTTTTTTTGAAGTCAATTAAAAAAATTAATGATTATACAAAACAAGAAATATAATCAATTTTCTAAATTAGCATAATTTTAACTTTTAAATTCATCCTGCAGACCAGATTGAACCCCTTAGCGGGCCGGTTTTGGGCCGCAGGCTGTTTGTTGGATCGCCCCTGGTCTAGTCAATTAATAAGATCAACTGCTATTTCCACCTCTTATGTTTGTCCAGGAGTGGCTTTGGCCTGTTGGATACTTCTTGCGTGCTAAACTGCACTTTGCCAAAATGCTTGGCGAAAAAACGTATGCCAAGACGGTGACCCTGGTCAAAAATGTTCTTTCACGACATTACACTCATCTGGAGAGGTATGAATGTTATGTATTCGACATGAAAACGATGCTCCCACTTTTTTCTCATTTCATCCCGATGTTATAGCATTACAATTTTAATATGGCACAGTGTATTATATTTCAAATATGCATTTCCATAGCTTATTGTGCAGGGTTTCCGCAGGTCATTAAAAAGCATTAATTTGATTTTACAAAAATTAAGGCCTTAAATGGCATTGAATACATCGTCCAGAAGCATTTAAAAACGAAATACAAGTTATTTTCATGATATAAATATTTTATTATTAGTGGGGGTTTTGGGGAACACATGGTGGCCGTGATGCGCCCTGACCAGTCTAGAAATAGACTGGCTCTTCGGGAAAACTGAGACATTTTCCCGAAATCCCCAATGGCAACTACGCCCCTGTATTTACCCGATCAATGTGTGCATGTGTATGTACTGTATTTGCAGTAGGATGTGGGCATTAACTTAGATTATTCCAGCCATTTTTCTCGAATTGGGAGAGATGGTGCCAGCCATTTTTGATCATTTCAACTAATTTTTGAAGACCAACTGAAAATTGGTGTCTGTAGTTATTTCTACCTTTAAAAAAACATTTCTACCTTTTACCATTCTTTAGTAAACAGAAGTTGAACATTGTAAGTTTCTTGATTATACTTCCAAGAACAATCGTGAGAAAAGAGCTTTTTTGAAAGGTCTGCTTGAAATGCATCCTTTCACTTTGATGGAATTTATTTATTTTTTTGAATTATTGATACCTCAAATATCTCAACAATGCTTTCCTACTAAACAACATAACCATCACAAAAAATGCACTTGAATTTCAAAATAACAGTGTATTGCAACAAAAACACTGCATCGAAAGCATTCAACTATGCATGAACGTTGAACTTTATCGATGTTTTCACCACCACACTGCTTTCGCACCCCACCTCGCCTCACATGTGGGATCGCTGTACTGAATGCACACACACTCACTTGGTGTATGGACCAAGATTTGATCAAAGCTACTCTTGCCATATAGTGGTGATTTATCATACTGAAATAATTCCCAAAGCCTTGATACTTACTGAGGAGCTGCACAAAGCCCTTTATTTTATTTATTTGTTATTTTTTTTTATTAAAAAAAGAATCATTTTACGTTTTGGCATTAAATTAGTTAAATTTGTTGTAAATTGCATAAAAAACGGCTTTAAAATAAATCCAATTATATTTGCTGATACCTGCAGAAACCCTGTTGTGGGCATGTTGATGGAAAACACATCATGAAGAACATTATAAGTAATCAGTGAGGAATTTTTAATTTCCATAAACCTTTGTCTACATCTGTCTTAGGTCTCCATGGAAAGGTTTGCCAGAGTTAATGAACGAGAATGGCCAGCACTGCCCGTTTAGCTGTGAGACTCAAGCATGGTCTTTGGCTTCTCTGCTGGAAGTACTGTATGACTTCTAGAAAACTTCTGCAAGGCCATTTCCAACATCTCTTTTACTCTGTGCTACAGTTGAAAAGAGTGTGTTAAATTGTTTTGGCTGTTTAATCCAAATAATCCGGATCTAACATACACTCTGAAAGGCCTGAGCCACCCCAGACTCACTGCCTCTTCCCATTTTAATTGAAAACAGTTGCCACTGTCCCAGAACATGGCAAAGAAGTTGCCGTGCATCTAATTTTCTGAACATACAATGCCACAATTTCTGTGTGAACACTCATATGCCATTGTCAGTGAGAAATAGAAACTGAATATAACAGAACAGAATAGAAAGTGTTTGTTGTCATTGTATACAAAGCTGACAAATTTTACGGAATGTCTGTATTTTGTTACAGAAATCACCTGATTCCGAAACATATCCAGAACGATGATCCTTCTGGATATTTAAAAAAAAAATAATCCGCAAGTCCATTCTGTGTTCATGACAATTTTGAACACAAGTGCTGTTTACGGTTGCGTTAATCATTCAACAGTACATAAGAATTCTTATTGTGCATTACCAGCAGTCATTCTAAACCGGGGTCTCATGACTTTATATCAGGTAGTGTTTTCTTTTTCATGTGCGGTGGGTCCGATGATTAACCTGACTGTTAACTGACCAAGTTTTAGTTCGCATTGTCGGTCAACACTAATCTAATTATGTGTGAATACAAATTTTGTTCATTGAAGGAATATCATCGAACGTTTTTCGACACAATAATCACAACACTTTACACTCAGACTTGATGTCTGTCGAGCCATGTGTTGCAACAAGCACGTCTCATTTATTAGTAGCTAGCAAGCTAAGTGAGCTTGAAAGGCTTCGACCACGTATAGCCAAAAACGAGTTCATCCAGGAACAATTTAATGAACGTTTTACACGATGAAAGTAATGATCTGGCTTCATTTGACCGGCTTCGTTCGTATCTCACTGAGCTGCGCATTTGCGCACGTAATGTTTTTTCATCAGGGTTCCTAGAAGGTTGCAAACCATTGAAAAAGGTTTCAAGCATTTTTTCTTGTCGCAAAGAAATTTAACATGTTAAAATGTCTGCAACAAGAAAAACTGTTTGTGACCATTAAAACTGTTGCCGATTGTCTGACGAACGCCTTTGCGACTGTTTGCGACCTTGAACGAACGCTGACAAAAAAATCTACGTTCAGCCCACGCGCACTCACCAACCTCTGCGGCCCCAAGAAGTTACAGGCTCAAATTGAATAAATGGCTAAACGGAAGAAAGCCATTGATCCTGTGTGCTGTCTCAGAAGAGTGGTCACACTCTCCTGAGCCTCTTCATTTTGCCTCACTGAGATGGGAGAACCACAGAAAGAGTGGTGAGTGAGAGGGCTGAGGCACAATCAGACTGCCAGGCTAAGAGTCACACCAACAGTCAACTTAGTGTTTTTTTGACGGAGGAAGCCAGAGGTAGCAGAAAGAACAGGAAAGCAAAGTAAATATGCATGCACAAAGGCAAAAATACATCATTCACATAACGGCGGACAATGAATGCAGAATATCTTAATATAGTGCAACATTACCCTGACCCTAATTGCTTTGTACCATACAGGTGTGTATATGATAAAAAAAATAAAACAAATTCCGTACTGCAAGTGAATTACCCGTCAAATTTGTGTTCACACATTTAGATCAGATGTCCTCATTAGTCCTTGGTCCATTGTTGTCCTTGTCAAAATTCACTTTCGCTCTGTTACTTTTAACTGTACTACGAGCCATTTGTAGCAGCTTTTATGCTCACACAACCTAATGAAAAAGTCACCTAAATTTACCTGTACTGTATTCAATAATGCATTAAAAAATTGATAAATGCTGCCCTTGTGCCTATTTTCCATTCACATAATTCCAGGAAATGTATTTAAACATGCTGGCCAATGTATATTTTTCAGCTACTCATATTCTCCCGTCCAGAATTCTAACACACCCACGCTTCTTAACCAAGGAATGGCTGTGTCCAAATCCACAGGCCGGATCCTCCGAAGGACAATTCACAGGCCAGGTCTTTCGAAGCCCTCAAAAAAGGCTTCTCCCCATGTAGCCTCTGCGTATGCGTGGCGAATTTGGACAGGCGTAATTACTGCTGTCAGGAGATTAAAAATATTGTCAGATTAATTAATTACAGTGAAACTTCTCGACAACGAAACCTACATGAGCGAAAATACCCCCTAGTGTGAAAAAAATGTTCATGCATGAAAGCCATTCCCACTTTTCTGCTCCCCCTGCAACGAAAAGTCCCCCTGTTCCGTTATACGAAATCTTTTTCTCTGTTCTTGCCTCGCAACGAGATTCACTACAATGAAAACAAGCCTTCCCGCAAAAGTCTAATCCAACCTCAGCATGCCACAGTGACCTCTACTGCTTCATTCGGAAACGGCAACAGCAACCACCACACTGGTTTACACATGTGCAGTAGTACAGGAAGTATTTGTTTCAACGCAGCACGAACATTGCATTGCTAAAATGGCGACAAAACGGACCTTTGCATACCAAGGAGTTAAGAAAATAAAAGCTTAAACACTTGAAGACAGGATAAAGGTAATCAAAATGAAAGATGGAGGAAGCAAAATAAAAGACATTATGCAAGAAATTGATATAAGTGAAAGTAAATGATGATCGTAAATTTCACAATTTCTTTCCCTTTTTTTCTTTCTACACTGGCTATATAAAGTGTTAAATAAGCGTATCCTCATACTTATGCACTATTGGAATAAAAATAAAAAGTACACATACAGTGATCCCTCGCTATTTCGCGGTTCGTTGATCGCGCGGCTTCGGTGCATCGTGGATTTTTTCAAACAATCATTAAAAAAAAATTTTTTTTTTTTTTTTGAAGGCCGCAAAAGTGGGGCACGTGTGTGCACGTGCACTCACTCATGGGCGCGCAGGTGAGTGTACGTGTGTTGCTCAGAGAGAGATAGAGAGAGAGAGAGAGAGAGAGAGACTTACAAGAGGAAAAGCAGGTCTCTCCATCCTTAATTGTCTAAACCAGGGGTCCCCAACCTTTTTTGCCCCACGGACCGGTTTAAGTCAGACAATATTTTCAGGGACCGGCATTTAAGGTGTGGCGGATTAATACAACAAAATAATATGGTATGAGCTGCATGAAAACTGTGGTGTTTTCGAAATATAATAATAAACACAAGGAGCGTCTAATCTGGTCGCAACACTCTTATCGCTCTGGTAATGTTTAATGCCTTCAAAATACGATACAACGCAAATTCAAAGTGCATGAAAATGACGACTC